TTTTCACTAGCCTAACTTTCCAATCTGTTAATATGCTTCTGAATTGCACTCCTGTCCTCCAGTGTGTTTGTAATACTTCTCAGTTGTGTCATCTGCAAATTTGCTCACAAACATCTCTAAACAAGCATCTAAATCATCATTAAACAGGTTGAACAACTCTGCACCCAGGACAGAGCACTGTGAGACTCCGCCTCTGTATCTCCTACTATTCTGACATGGATCCATTTATAATTATCATTTTTAATAGCTAATTGAGCCAGTCTACTCAACTTAGTGATTTTGTCTAGCCCACATTTCTCTGATTTGTTTATAAGTTATCATCCACAATGTATCTGTTAGTAAGATTATAAGCAAACAAGCTAGTTCAACCACAACATATCACAACATGTAAAGGATCCTCAAACACAGAAGAAGAAACTCACATTTTATATAACCAGGGAAATACCACTCACTCAGTACAATGCAGAGCCATTATCTATTCAGAAACTTAACGCTAGTTATAAAGCTGCTGCGCTCAAACCTTTCACCCCACAGCACATGAATGGCACAGGGTTAATCCATGAGCCAGACTAGACCCTGCACCACTTCCATCCAGCCCCTCACATACGGTTGTGTATGCAGGGCCAGAGCCCACAGAGCTCCCCAAAGACCCATGGGGAGCCCTACCAGCCAATCACACATTACCAGAGGTTGGTTCTGGCCTGAAAGTTAGGGGTTGAGCACTCCCGTGATAAACAAATGTATTGCAATAACATGATTTATGAAAGAAACTGACCATTAAGTCATGATTAGACAAAATGCAAGTTAAACAAAGACAAGGGACAAATTACAGCTAGTGGTTGAAGAACTATTACCTTAAGGTTAAAGAGTTTATACCCCTTTTTCCTATTCAGTTCTCCATAGCTCAACTCAAGCCCTTAATTTATTTCAGTTTCCTGCAAACAGAGCATTACCTTATCACCAAATTTCTACTTTTTTTAAGGCCAATTACAATTTCTGGGTTTACTTGCACTGAAGCTCTGATCCTGCACTGCTCAGAAAATGCATCTTCCTCTTATGTGCTTACTTGAGTGGCTCACTATACTCAGGAGAACCCCTGCTAAACCCTAATTCTACAAAGGATGCTAGAGCTCTTTATAAATACAGGAATTCCACCATGGGGATACATCCACAGGTATACAAGTACACAGTCACAAAAAACACATACCTTAATCTTTTGTGTTCTATCTTAAGAAAAAGAATTTTCCTTCTTTTCTGACATCCTTGGAAAATGGAACCAAGGTGTTACAGCTGCTAGAATTAAGGGCCCAAGCTATAGCTTCAAATTATTTTCATTTAACTATGTGTAGTAATTTATAGTTACCCACAATACTGTTGATTAAAATACAGGAAAACTTAAATACGACTTGATAAATTATCACTGCCTTTTTCCTGGAACAATACAAAGGAACCTTTCATCACCTTCCATTGATCCAAGCTGTCTATTGTTTCTATTTAATCATGCAGCACTATTGATATAAACAGAAGATCACTAAGCTCATATTGGCATGCCAAACTATATAAATAAAAGTCTAACAGAAGACCATTCAGTTCCATTACAGTAATAAGAGGTCTGTGGATTAAAAGCTTTTTCTGAACAGAAAAACAAATAAAAATGTATTTACAGTAGAACCCAGACTCTTCATGGGGTTAAGATTCCTTAGCTTAATGTGAAAATAAGTGTTTGTAAATCAGGATGGGGATCAGAAAGACACAGCTAACAGCTGTACAGAACTGCTGAGGTACTCCTGCTGATTAACAGTGTTTTTGTCTTAAAGGGTCCAGCTTCTCCAATCAACTGTGCAGGACCTCTGCTGTGCTATAGTTGAGCAGAGGAGCTGCATCCTTTGAAGACTGAGCAATCAGTTAAGAGGCTCATCCATAACTGAGCAAGGTGCATGGACATTTGATTCAATGAATTAATGTCACGGCATCAGTGTCTGCACTACATGTAATAGTTAGGGAATAACTAACAAAAAAAAGACTAGAATTCTACAACGTTGTATTTTTTCCCCATTTTCCATCTACAACTGAAGCAGCAGGACATGCTACTTCATTAGACATCAAATATTACACATGAATAGTTCATGAACTTTTAGGCTTACCAAATACTAGCACTGCTGTTTCTTAATATATTATAATTATAACTTAATGTGTTAAGTATAGAATTTTAGGCACAGGAATGAAAGAAGGTAAAATCTACGTGTTAAAAAAGCTATAAAATGTAAGATTATATGAATATTTTTAACATAGTAAGACAAACATTTTCTAGGCACACTTCAGTGGGTTACAGGCATTTCCAAATATAAGTTGTTTAGTAACTACGTGCATCAGTTCATAGGCTGAAAACAGCTGATGGATGTCATGTAATGGGTGTCATGTAACAAGATTCCAAGAGCATGCTTTTTCAGCACCATGCACTACGTTTAGCTAATTCCTTCTCATGCTGACCCTCATATTTCACTAAACATCACTAATGTAAATAACTATCATCATAATTTAAAAACAAAAAGTTAAATTTAATATGAACTCTTTGCATTGAGTAATTTTGTTTTTCCTAGTTTCAAGGTCAACTCCAACATTCGCAGAAACACAGTATTCTGGTGTTATATCCCCTCAGAGATTGAACAAAGAACCATTACTTTAGTGTAACAGAAATTGTGGGAGGCAGACAGTATTATTCTCATTTTAACAAGCAGGCACAAAGAAGTAGGACCACTGAAGCAAGTGAGAATGAGTCTAAGAAGTGACTGACCTAAGGTCATATTCAGTTACATGAATGGCTCCTGTGGGGGATTTTAATGGAAGAGGGATTTCAACCCAGCTTTCCTGCTGTCACAAGAACATCTCCCTAAAACTTTATTATAGCCAAAAGACACATCTTTCCTCAAAAGGAAAAAAGTAGTCTAATTCCTTACACATTACATTTACAAGTTTAATAGATTTTCAAACTTTTACAGTTTTGTGCAGCAACAGTTTTAGTTTCAATCTCCATAATAGATACAGTCATATAACTGAGCAAAGAAAACCTTCACACAACTCAAGAGAACAAACCTTTATTAAAAGCAGCACTTGGACAAACTGGTTTAAAATGAGCCTATACTACTACTGCATAGAGACAATAACCTGTGAAATCTAAATACAAGCCCAGTCTTTTTAGAGCTTATCGGTACAAGCACCTTACTTCTAAATACCCTGAAAGATTAGTCCCTGACTAGATCTCATCAAATGATCAAAATAAAATAAATGATGAAAGGACTGCTCTAAAACACTACTGTTCTTATCCATTTTAAAGAATGACTTTTCAGTAAAATCATAAAATAGATTAAAATCTAGGAACTCAAGTTCCTATCAAAGTCCTGGAAAGGAAGTGAGACTATTAATTTTACATAAACTGAAAGCAAACGGGCTTGGATAGCTTATTATCTACAGCACCTGAAATTTAGAAATCTATTGTTCAGTACAATTTTTTTTCAGCTAGACTATCATAAATGACATACAAGATAAAAGAGGGAGGGCTTAAAACAGTATTTGAGAGAGAAAAAAAGCTGGCAGCTTCATACATGCATAACCTGATCCTAAAATGAAAGATCTGTCATGAAAGCAATAAAACATCTAACTTGTGGGGTCTACATGCTAACATGCTTCCAACCTCTATAACAGGGAAATTAAAAAGTAACCCCCTAATAAAAACATTTTCCTTTCCTATAGGCTTTGCCCCAGCAAACATCTACAGAGTTTTATTATGCAGAGAAGTATATGTTAACACAGGGTAAGAACATCTATAGGGAGAAGGGAGTGCTGGATCTTTTCAGTGTTTACTAATTTAATCTAATAAAAAACAAGGTCTTCTCCCTCTCCTCCCAAACAATGCGGAGGGGCCGTCATGGCCCTGGCTGAAGCTGGGGAAAAGTTACTGCCTGCCCTGTGGGGTGGCTCATGTGGGCTACTGGGGAGGGGGGTCTGGCTGCCTGCCCCTCCCCTACCACTGTTTTCCTTGCCACAGCAGTGGAAGACATTAACATAAGATGACTCCCCCAATAATTAGAATCTATACATGGAAAATTATAATTATATAATGTTATTATATGTTATAAATTATACACATCTGCACAGCTATAATTTATAATTATGCAAGGTACAGAATATAATTATTGTGGGGTCATCTTAAATTGAAAGTCATCTTGGATTCAGGTATATATGGTATTTCATTGCAATTCTAATATAATTCATCTCTGTTAAAAAAAAAAAAAAAAAAAAGGTATCGTAACATTTCCCAAGAATAGAGCACATGCAAAGAAAAGAAATCAAAGCAGCAGGTAGGGTATTGGTGGCAATGGTACAACGGGAGAACCTCAGAGGGAAACGAA